AATTAATAGATATGCAATAAATACGACTGACGTATATCAGGTATTACTACTCAAGACAATAACGTCAATATATAGTAATATTACGACGATAAAAATGGCAATTAGATTTTGTGATCGGCAAAGTTGATTAAGGTCGTCGTTTTCAGGGAAAACTATACTTTATAACCCACCAAAATATCCAACTAAAATCCAAATCTATTTTGTTTTCCCAAAGTATGATAAAAAAGTATACAATTAATTTTGTATGCCTGAAGTTGGTGGGCCCCTCTTATAAGTGGGCCCAGTGCAGATGTCCCATTTGTCCTTGCATAAATATGGCCCTGCGGCTAAGAGGGGTAAATAAACAAAAAAAAATCGTTGATTAAGGCTTATTCACTCCTAATATTAAACACTAAGGTTCATACTTCATTTAATTTTCTAATTATTTTCCAGTAGAATATATTTGCCATTCCTTTGACACATCGTCTCGTCATTTCATCGTCATCGTAATTTATCTCGTAGGTGGCATCTGCCCGCCACGTAGGCAGTAGGCACGTAGCCGACGTATTTTATTTACGCACGCGCATGTACTCGTCGGTAGTACCGACAAGAAATATCGTTGAAATGACTAGGACGATGTGTCCCAAGAATGACAAATATAATTTATTATTAATTATTGTTTTACTTTTGTCGTTCTGCACCTGATTGAAAAAATATACTTGGTGTATCTTTAGTTGCCTATTCCTAATGCCGTGTAATCATAACCTAAAATTATTTTCTCTCAGATTCAAAGGACGCGTATTGCTCAATTTTTGTATCACATCTTCCTCCCATCTCTTTCTATCTAATGCTACCTCTTATAGTTTTCCAATTTTAGTATCGTTAAATTCTTCGAGACTTTATCAGACTATCATTGCTTTGGTGTATCTAAGGACCTCTTCCTTGTGATTTCCAATATTCTGGACTCCTTTTACGGTTGTGTTGAATATATGATTACAAAATATCAAACATACCAGAAAAATAGGTAATGATAATAATGATAAACTATTAAACTGGAATTTGGAATTATTGTTATAATTTTATTGAAACATGTATGTTTCAGACATATGTGTCGTGTGTGTTTAATTAATACAATGTAATATGTACCTACCTATTATAGAAGTATGCAATTGAATAGTCACACACACGACACATGTCCATCTGCACGCTATGATCACATCTATAAACCCAAACTTTTAATAGTTGTGGTGGTGTTGTCTTGTATAAGACTAGTAATTGGTGGGCTGTGTCCTTGAGCGTACCCTGAGGGGAGGGCAGATTACTTCTGACATTTCATATCTTTTAATCCTCCCCAAGGGTGACATGTCACTCCCCATAGACAAATGTTAAATGATTGTAATTTTTGTAATTGTAAATAATAAACTATTTTTAATGAAGATATGATAATACATGACATATTACATAGGTACATCGTTTATCTATGTTATGTATTGATTTTCTGTTATTTAATAAAATCAATATGGTTGGTGCTTAGTTATTTTTTTATGATACTGTCACCCTCATTGGTTCTGATTGATGGGCGCCCTCGATCCTCCCCCTCCCTCAAAGTCTAGTTAAATTTTCACGTTTTTATACATAATGAATGGCTTAAAAATAACATATATTTTGATTTTTACTCATAGAGTCACGGAGTACCTACTCTTTACTGCAAGCTTCATCATATCAAACTGAGACAGCATTAAATTAATTAACCCCGATAAAAATAAGGTTTAAACTAATGGATTTCATTTAAATAATGAATGTTACATGCACTCGTAATAGTCGTAATTTACATTTATATTGGGTAATTTAATAATAATATCCGGACTATTCCTATATATTCATAAAGATATTTTAAATATTGGTACCTTAATTGCAGTCTTATTAAGAATACTTTTCAAAAGTATTTGGGTCTTGGGATATGTATTTAAATAATATTGGTGTCATTTGTATTTGAAATACGTATTTGTTTACTGTATTTCAAATGAATTTGAATATAAATACAAATACCTACATTTTAAAATTATTCAAAATCCTATTTTTTTAGTCTATTAAAATCTTTTAAGTTTATCACAAATGTATACTTAAAATTATTAATAAATATTTAAATTAATAAATACATTCTTTAATTGGTTCAAGATCAAGAATTTCAGATGTCACATAGGAGCCTATTATATTGTCAAGATATGAAATATGAATTTTAAGTACCTACTGTGTCATTTGCTTATTTTATAAAAACATTAATACGATGTTTTATTAAAACATTTTAGAAGCATTATAGGTATATACAATTATTAAATTATTTTATAACCAATTTTTACAATTGTAATATACGAAACAAATATACTGTTCGTTGAAATACGATGATAAAAAGAAAAAAAGTATTTAGTATTCTGGAATAAAAATCAAAGAAAATGTATTTTGAAAGTAGGTATTTAAAATTAAAATACACTTATCAAAAAGTATTTCAAAAGTAATTGAATGACCAAAAAAGTATTGAAATACTTAACAAGACAGCTTAATTGTATAAATATTAAATAATAATAGGATGGTTATTCAGTGTGCGTATATGCTTTGCGGCATTGTACTGCACCATATATTATAATTTATAATACTCCATCGGCGTGATAAAGGGCCAAGGGGGAGGAGGTTCATAGGGTTTAAAGTTTTAAACCACTAAATTCACAAAATTGTAATGTTTGAATTTATTCCCAATTTATTCAGAATAATGATTAACATAATATACCATTTATAAATATGCATTTATATATTACATATTGTATGATTAATTTATTGTTACACTATTATAATTAAGACTAATTTGAAAGAAATTTATTTTGCTTGTTTTTCATCTAATGGTTGTCCACGACTCCGTATTCCATCGGTGGTAATTATTTATTTGTTAATAAGTCGTGGATCAAAATTTTTTTATTGTGTTTGAAAGTTAAGAATTATATCTACGTTTTATCAGAAGCTTTTAAATTTCACATATTATGTGTATAATTTTTTTATTTGTTATTTATTAGTAAGTTAAACTGTTAAGAGGGGACGTCACACCAGCATGTGATGTTATCTCCGTCTTACGCGCGTACGACATGGACAAAACGCGTTTACGCAATCTGAGTAGAACTCGCTCAATTTACAGCATAAATGCATAATATTATATTTATTAGATAATTTGATTATAGAATGTACATTATAATATTATTAACGATACAACCTTAATGAGGGCTACTAAGCAATATTGACGGGGATTCTATATTACAGAACTATAATCTAAAATTGAATACTCAATAAAAAAATATAAAATTATTCAGAAATGTGGAAATATCAAAATATCCTTGGAGATCTTTATTAAACATCGTTCTTCTCATAAAATAGCAGTCTTTTTGGTTTTTTCGACGTTTCTTGTTGATAAAATGTTTTGGTTATCAGTCAAAGAGTCTAAGCATTCAATACAAGGTCCCTCGTGTGATTTATACACCAGTTACAACAAACCCAAATTCTACCAGTACAATATATAAACACGATTTCCACCAGTCACATAAATTAAATTTACACCAGCGTGTCGACTCTTAATAATGATATAAAATAAAAACCAAATAAATTACAAAGCATAAACGTTTATTAGTGTTAATGTATACACGATTACGGTTTTATAGCAATATTTATATATGTTTTATATATGTTTTATATATGTATATAGCCGGACACAAACTCTTGGAGCGAACTCGGGATGATCGTGCACGGTGACTTACTACACTGGCGCCATAAACGTGATAAGTGAGGGGGCAAACTAAACAAACTTTCAAACCGGTGCCCAAACACTCCTCAAAAAACTACCTATACACCTAATGGTGTATGTCGCTGTTAGCACCACAGCAAACCATTCGCCGAGCGAATCTCTTCACTCGGCTCCATAGTGAGCGACGTTTAGGTCTGGCGGCTGTTACTGTAGTTTCCATTTCTGCAGCATCTCCACGACCGCAAAGGGATACAATTTCCTGTAAACTGGCGGTCTCCAGGTCCAAAGGTTTTGTCAAACCATTTTTCGACTCTGCATCCCCAATTGACTGTGGTGCCACTTTCACTTTTCAGTATGGGACTAAACCGTTGAGGGTCGGATTCGACCGGCTTAACCAGTGGGAAAGTTGTCGAGACGGACAACATCGTGTCGATGTCGATAAGTTCTGCAGCGACGGGTGTCATTACTGCACTGTTAGTTGTTTCCGCATACAATGAATCCAGTGAAACGGTAATTTCCGTGGACGGCATAGCATCAGGTGCATCAACTTCGGCATTTGTTAGGAATGCCATATCGGGCATCGATTTACATAGTCTTTGAGCCTTTGAAATCTTGACACTACTAACGTCGACCGCTATCTGACGATTTTCACGTAGATCACTGAAAACTTGCATCATCAAAGCGGTTGAGGACTGCAAATCGATCTGAACGTCTTCGCTAGCGGAAATTGGCATGTCGGGTAACGATTTATATCGTCGATGCAGTTTTAAACTGGTGAGATCATTGTCTTGAAACCTTTTAGGGCGATTTTGCCGGAGATCGTCAAACACCTGTTTCATTATTTCAGCAGCGGACTGCATTTGGGCTTCGGACGAATTATTCACTTCTGTGATATAAGACATAATGATAATCTGATATAGGATAATTTCAATATATAAGACAATTTTTCACTGTGTTATAATCAGAGAATGATTAGGGTGGCCAGATATAAAATACGAAAATACGGGACAAAGATAAGAATTTTTTTATTATGAATAAACATCAATTTTTGATGAAATACTTGAATATTTAAAGTCTTAAATCTAAAAATGATAATTGTTAACTAACAAATTTAACATACTAAAATAATCTTTTTTAGATATTAAATCATAATTTTAAAAATTATAAATATTTTTTTTTACTTATAAGTATAAACTATAATAAATATAATATAGACAATATAGTGTAATATGATTTTTTAACAGGTGTTCGAAGTTGATGCTTGGGTATTTAGTATTACAGTTTTTGACTCCTTCGGCAAATATTTTTCGGACGAATGTATATGTTTTAAAAGTTTTTTATTTCCCAATAAAAAATCATGAAACCCAGAACAATCCTCAGTGAAAAAATGTTTTACGACTAACATGGCTTTAACAGTTTTAACATCAAATCTGCTTTTATCATCAGTCCACAAGTTATTCATGTCGGAGAAAATTCGTTCAACATTTGCATTAGAACCTGGAATACACATTAAAAATTCCACAACGATTTTTAAATTCGGAAAGTCTCCATCAATATCTGCTGTTTGAAAAACATAGGTCCATTTTTCATCCAACGTGTTAAAAGATTTAATCTTTTGGTTTTTCTGTAAATTGGTTTTAACAATAGTAAACTCGTCAAATAATTCTGCCTCATTAAATGTAAGACTTGGGATTACATTTTTTATCAATTGTATTGTATTTGAAATGTTTTTCCAGGAGAAATCGTCTTCTATATTTTTTAAAGTAATCCATGAAACTCCATTGAACTTGCATAGTGTTGGATTTGTCCACTCAGTAATATAATCTGAACATGTTTCAAAAAAAATTGTCCGAAAGTTATTATATATATTTAGTGTTAAAATTGATTCATCTCTTAAATTGTTTAGTAATTCAGTTTCCTTAATCGTCATGAAATTGTTAATGTTTGCGACTTAATTTTTAGTAGCAAAGTGTCTATATGACTTTTTACTTCAACGATAGACAAATTGGCTGTTTCCACACTTTTAATTGTATTAAAAAATAGTTCACATTGAGTTTGAAGAAATATTGTAAGCAGAAGTGACAATGGATTTTCAAAAAAAAATTTTAGCATGGCTGGACATTTTTCAATAAATAAAAAATAAGACTTCAATCCCTCAAATATTTCGATAAGTCTTGTCAACGCCGGATATAGTGATAACCAACGAGTTTTTGAATGTCCTAATACTGATTTGTATTCTATATTAACAAAATCGCAAAACTCTTTTAGTGAGTGGACTCTAACAGTATAGATATAAAAATGTTGAAATATTTTTCCCAACACCGCTTGAATGTCAATAGGCAAAGTGTCAGCAGCAGTTTGTATTGAGTTATTTAAAATATGTGCAGCACAACCAATACCAATTAAATTTGTGTTAATTGATTCTTTATATTTATTATTTAATACAGATAGATGAAGATTATATTTTTAATTTTATTTACATATTTTCTATTATATGAAAATATTCATATTTTTAAAAAACGGGACAATATAGCGTCCCGGAAGCATATGTCGGGACAACGGGACAGACTTTTGAAATACGGTACTTTCCCGTATAATACGGGACGTCTGGCCACCCTAAGAATGATGTAAAAATATATTTACTGATTTAATAAGAACTAAACAGTTATACGCTGCCCATAGTTACAATATTTGTAATGTTTTTTTTAAAACCAGTCAGTGGGGCCCATTATTTTTTATAAATAAATAAATAAAATAATAAATAAAAAAAAATAGAGTGTGTTTGTAGTACCTTCGTGCAGGGGAAGTAAAACTTTTTCGCAGTTGATCGTATGAGTTGTGATGTGTAATAAAATATTAAATAGCATATTTGTACGTATTCGGAATCAGTATA